GATATTAAAAATCTTCGTGAAAATAACAAGCTAAGCACAGTCTACCTTTTATGAAATAAAATAATATCTTCCTATCGGGTAAAATGCAAGGTCCACATGATGAATAAAAATATATCTGAAGAGCTCTGTAATGAAACTCTCCTATAAGTTCTGTGTAAGATTTAGGAATTTCAGAAAAAGTGATAAAATGGGAAAAAGTGCCGTAGCGTTTGATTAGAAAATGTAAAGCTCATAATAATGTGGGCGAAAATGTGTTAAATGTTTATAAAGAGCGTATGCCAAAGATAGGTGGAGTAAAACAAAGATTTGCAGTAGCAACTGCACTGATTTTTGGCAAGAGTACAAAGGTGACTGTAAATTATCTTCTGTTTTTATGGCAGAAAGTATGTAGTTTAGTAAAAGTAAGCTAAAATAGACAGAACCAATCCTGCGAAATTTTTGGAAGTAAATCATGTAGTCTGAATATATGCATATTTCATTCATTACTGATTTTACATACTTGACATATTTAGATTTTAGGTAAGTATGCATATATATGTCAGTCGCTGCCAAGATCAATTAAAATTATCTTAATAAAAAATTTTAAATTTTTATCAGTCAAAGAAAATCGAGTCTTATTCAAACGCTTGATGCCCAAATATATATGAATACTGCATTTTAGTTGTCAGTCTCTCTTTAGCTATTTTGGCGAAAATTCATCAGTGCAAGATAAAATTTTCAAATGAATTATTGAAATATTTCTTCATAATGTGCTGCATTACAGCAATTTTTGAGATAAACATCATAATTTCTATTATTGTTTAAAAATTTTACATAAAGAATGGTGCAAGAATTGTTTATTCCTTGTGACCTTGTTACTGTAAACTGAATCTCATGAATCAATCTGAATTTCAGATTCCTGTTTCAGAATTAGCATTATAAAGCTTCTACTGAATTTATTTAGATAGGAAAGAACGCGGATAATAACAAAATATACTAGTATTAAGTATATGTAGACACTATGCACAAAGCGAGGAAGTAGATATTGCGTTTGAATTTTGTCATAAATGAAATGAATATATAAATTATATATAACTATAAATATATATTTATTATGAATGAATATATCTATTACTATAAATGAAATTATGTTACGAAACAAAAATTTTAAATGATAATAAAGGAAAATAAAGAGTACAGATAAATAACTCACAGCTAAAATATATTTCGAGATTATGTATCACAAACTTTAGATCAATCTTAATTAGCTTCTCTATTTTTAAGACAAATTATTCTGACAGGCACATGAATATTTATAAGCCCAAAAGTGATGTTAGTCCCGAATGGGATATTAGTCCCGAAACGGCATTTTACATCGAATCACTATAAACGACGTATCACTTTCAAATTGTTGCCACCAACCGCCCTGTATTATATTTTAAAAAATTAAACAATGAAGTATCTGCAAGAATTATGGTATTTCTCGCATTGGTAGGGGGAAAAAAAAAAGGTACCTAGAGCCGTCAAATTTTGACAGCAGACTGGTTGGTAGACTGCGAGAGCGTAAAGAACCTCAACATACCTTTTTGGGGGCCTAATTACCAAATAGACCGGTAGGGTCTGCCATATACCGATAGGAGTATATTAAGAGTCTCCCGGATCATCTTGTAATTCCCCATGATACCATATTTTACTCATAAAAGTAAGGACAGTCAGCATCGATAGCCCAAAACGAATGCCGTGTCTACAGTCACGGCTACTTTAACTGAGTATTGAGTTCTTGATAATATTGCTTACTTATAGGTTCGTAATACATTTAATGCACACATAACTGATGATAGCTTGATAAAATTTATTTTACCAAAAGAAACACCTAACAGTTTTGGAACTTTCCACAAAAATAGTCGTACAATTCTTCACAGTATCACAGAGTAGAATCAGTAGTTATACTTCAAACTATTAAGAACGTTAGACACAGTACAACGTAAAGCGCATCTAAGGAGGAAGCTCACATAGAGATATCTCAATACTTCGAACTTATGCTGAACTAAACAGCTAACAGCAACTGAGAAACTGATGCTCTCTCCAGTCTTATATAGTTTCCTACCGGCCACCGAGATATTTCGAGGGCTTTCTGCTTCTCGAAATTTCTGAAAGGTATACGAGGACCGGATATAAGGTTACAGTTGTATATGAAATCAATTAGAGTTATTCAATTACAATACCTGTAACGGTAATCCAAGGACCGAGCGAAAATGTTGCCAAATGATCGTCAAGTTTGGCGATTTCTGTCCCAATGTGGCGACAAAAAGTAGTCGCCAAAAACCTGTGCCATCTTTCCAGTATCTCGCCAAATTAGAGAGATATTTAATTAATATTAAATAGACCTGCACCCTGCATTCTTATTTTTCCGGCAGAGCATCGTTTCTTTACTTTTCTTGTTACGTTAGACAGAAAAATACAAAAATTTCACATAGAATTACATTAAAACCATCTGTCTATTGTCGAAATTCGTGACAATAATTTCTTTCTGAAGATTTAAGAAGAAACATTTTTATACGAAGTTGGGTAGTGCTGAATCGAATTAAGCAGAGTTTATTGTTTTATGAATCATAATAATGCTAATCATTGAGTTATCATTAATATACTTTGCAAAGTGTCTAATATAATCATATACACAATTGAGGGTATGCTAAAAATTTGTTACATAAAATTATTTGAATTTTTTCCTTCTTTTCGATTTGTTTTTCGAAGATGTTTTTAGAGACAAAAGTGTCATTCATTTTAAATTTCAGTTATAAATCATTAATTATATTCTAAGAGTTTTAATTCCTTAATCAAACCGTGAATGAGAATCGTCGGAAGCTTTGCCAATAATTTCAATGGGTTAACAAAAAATCCTGCTTATCCTCTAATCTATCAAATAAGAAGTGCTTCAGTTATCATACAATGCATTAAACTGAGGTTACATATTTTTTGATGCCTATTTAAAAGTCTCAAATTTAAATACAAATGTCTTTAGAAAACTTTCAGAGGAACCGATAATATGATTTTAAAAATATGACTGCAGTATATTAATGGAGCTCAGGTATTAAAATATGATAGAAAAATTTGTTTATATCTAACGATGATGAAACTTTGAATGATGATTAAAGTCTGTTATGAAACATTTACTTAACAGAAAGTCGTAAAACTCTTTTTTGAAAGGAACTCGAGTAATCTAACATTAGTAAACGCAATATTTTTTGTGTGTTCTTCCGTATATTTTTTTAACAGCGATATAGGCAACTTTAATATCGCTGTATACATTCTGAATAAAATTTGGCACTTTACAAGTTTAAAGTGTTGAAGAAAAACTCTAAAAACCGTAACTTCTGATACCTTACGAAAGGTATTTACTAGGTTTCGAGAACTGTGATGTAATACTTGTGGTATGACGAAACCTTGTGAAATAATTTCATTATCCTTCGGAAGCATAAAAAGTAAAGCACACTCAGCGGGTGTTAATATTCAATTTTAAAGAAGTTGTTAAATAGTCCAATATATGTACTATCTGTTAATATTGAAAATATGAAACATAGTTCGGAGACTAAGTTTTTGCAAAAGTGTTACGCAAACAAGTATCCATGAACGTATGGCTGCAATTTATGCTGTTACAACACCTTTCTATGACTACGTCAGAAAATGGATTGTCATGTTAAAAACAGCAAACAGCATTACTCGTAGATGTCCTCAGACCAAGCTAGATGGTGGATGTGATTCCTTGAGAAAGACTGCTAGAGTAATCGGCATTAGTATTGGTTAAGTGGGAAAATTCTGCATGAAAAACTGGGAAGCCAAAGGTTTGCTCCTGTTGGAAACTCAAAATATTGAAATTGGGGATAAATAAATCTTCGGCGCAAATATTCTTGAGAACTACTGTTCATGATAAACTATTAAAATTTTTTATTCACTGCTAGTGTGTGTGTGATTATGGCAAAGCCTCGAGGGCTATCTGCCTGAGGGGAAGGATGCCTTCGTGGAGGACTTTCTAAGGGAAACTGGCTCGTATACACGTTACACATGGGAAAAACCACGAAAACGCCCATGCAGCCAGCCCGTTCGCGGGATTCGAACCTCGGACCGAACTACCAGTGTTCAGCAACTTTACCTCTCGGCCGCTGGTGGGCCCATTCACTGCTAGTGATAGATGACGAAATATAATTTCACCAGCGTTACCCAGGAAAAGAAACAAGAGAGCGTGGTATGGAAACACAAATGATTTTCTCGATCTCGATTTTAGAATCCAAAAATTTGCCGGGAAGATTTAGGGAATGAATTCTGAAGGGAATGGGATCTCTGCTTATTAATTCATATACACTTAATACTAGGTTAATAATTATACTAACATGATAACTGAATTCCAATAAAGCATAAAAGTAAAACGTTGTCGCAAACTCAGAAGAAAAGTGTTTTTTACACGACAACGCTTTATCTTAAAAGTTCAAATTTCTCGAACTGCTATTCAGAAAGCTTCATCATTTCGCTTCCTTCTTACCCAGTGCATTCAACATGTCTAGCCCTAGTTGACTTTGTTGTTTTTATTACAGAACTGAAGCAGCATTTGTGTTATTCACGTTACGGACACAAATTAATTTGAAGTATTCTTTTCAGGAAGGTCATGACAAAACAATTTCCCCCTACTAGTGTCGGATGCTTAACGGATGGCTGTGTTCAGTGCTTTAAATTGAACTATGTATGAAACTGAAGAGGAACTACGTAAAAAAAACTGAGTAGGCAATTTTAAACATCTATCTTGTAAAAAAATGTTGGGCTTAAAACTCATTTAACGTTTCCCGTCTAACTCATTTTTGTTCTTTACAAATTTGTTTTCTGCAATGAAAGTTTGTAATAATCACTGGTTATCTGATTACTACCTATCAGGTAAAAATAAAAATCTAAAATTTTGTAGATCGGTATCTTCGGTGTTTCTTATAAATAAAAATGCTACAAATTATGATTAAAAATTTGACTTGTGAGGAAAGATCGCTAAAAATAGTTTTATTAAATACATCACGCTTATTATATTTGCATCGTTTCTCGAAATTTACTTGCTGTTGAAACCTGTGCAAAGCATCTCTTGATAAAGAGTTTATAATTTTATTTCGTATCAGTTACGATGGTCTTTAAACATAGAATTAAAAAGAAATGATCAATTCTATTCTTTCCATAAATCCATAACATCACTACCACTAGTTTTTTCTGTAATTCTTTTCTTTAATTTTTGCTCTTGTGCTGGTTTCAGTCTAGTTTCCCATTCAAATAGGCTGCTTCTTCTCATCAAATCACGAACATTAATTGGTAGTCTTTTTTGCCCATAATGAGAATCAACTGCACTCTCCGCCCAAGAAATCAGCCCAGCTGGTAGCTTTGCGTCGGATAGTTCCTGAGGTGTTATTTTCAGAGCATCTTTCCAGAGTGCAAATGTATCCTGTCTCATAAAGTTAAAGCTACTGTAATGTAATATGTTTTCTAAAATACTGGAATTCTCTTTCAGTAATTTAGCATATTTTGTTCCCAGAAAGTTGGCAATTTGTAATACTGCTCCCTTGGTATCATCTTTTAATTGTTCATAAGTAATGAAAAATATGTTTTCATCATTTTTATGCTCATACCATGAGAGTAAATGATCGAAATAGTCATTGTAATCTGTTTCTCCTCGAATAAAAATTTTAAAAAAGTCATCAAAAGACCCATCAGTAAAACCATAAGCTGGAAACATTTTAGTATGATGGTAAAGTGAAATACAACAGTCTTTTGGATGTCTTGCAACATAGATATATTTCGCGTGTTTAGCATATGGGATCATATCAAATGGCAAATGGGAACGGATTGGGGATGGTCGAGGCATTTTTTCAACTACTTCAGCTCCTAACATCTCTAAATAAGGTGTGCAGGAGAAATATTCCTCTGCAGTTTCTGGCTGTTGACCTTCGTGAAGAATTAGCAATACAATCTGCATCATCCATGTAGTTCCACATTTTGGATACGTTACAACGAAGACATCGTATGGTCGAGGTTGATAGTTTAGCGCAGATCGAATTGCATTTGGTTCGAATCCTTCTGCAAAACGGATTCCTTCAACTGTTATGTAACGCGGGATGGACTTTGAAGACATCGTCCAGAAATATAAATTAATACATCGGATACCTAAAATGATAAAGAAGTATTAAAATTACATAGTTAATATTACTGCTTTCTGGTATCATAATATTTCAAGAAAATATTCAAAAGTTTTTATAAGATTTAGCAGGCATTTAATAGAAAAGTCAAATTCTACAAAAACTGTTGCAGTGCTCAAAATATAACTGCACCAGTCGTACTATCTATATAACTCTTTCTTTCCCCCCTCGGAAAGGGACATGAGTTTTTTTCCCCCTTAATAAAAGGAACTTTTTTTCTGATTTCTCCTTAATTAGGATTCCCCTTAATTTCTTTTTGCATATTTTTTTTAAAATTATTCATTCAAGCAAACAATCTAATCATTTATATTTTATGTATATTAAGTCAATATCTATGCACTTCTCTTGATCATATATGATAAATATGTGTTTAGAGTGCGGGGGGGAGATCTTTTTCTTCAGTAATCCACTTTTAAAAATAACTATATCTTCAAGAAATTACTTAAATAAAAAATAAGGAAGGCTATGTGTTTCGAGAGGTGTACCTTCGTTGACTAATATTTATGTTAAATGTGAGTAAATTGCGAAAATTCTCATATTGGTTGCCCTATCCGGAAAAGATTTCTAAAGAAATAAGAATATTTACTTAAGATATACATGAAAATCAAGCATAAAATTAATAAAAATAGTATGTTTTTGAAGGAAATCATCTTTTTTAATGGAGCAAAGGAAATAACAGCATGCAAAGCAATGAATACTAAAGTTTATCTCGAATAAACTTATGCTCTCCTTTGGAAAATATGAAATTTTGACTTTTACAAACGTTACAATGACTTTCAAGCTGCAAACAGAAACGTTAAAGAAAAGGTAGTGATTCATTTTTCATACTATAATAAACAAATTCAGAGCAAATAGGTCATTTGCTATCATATTTTTGAATTCTTGGTACTATTCCGTTTTGAGGACCGTAAAAAAATTGCAGCGAAAATGTATGTGCAAAAGCGCCAAATCTAGCAAACGCGCCCATTTAACAGCGCGACAAATCTAGCTGATTTCAGATTGCGTAAGTTTATATAAGTTTATTTAGTTCTATATTTTTTAAGACGCCATTGAAATACTAGTTTAATTTTTAAATCCTTTTTTGATATCCTATGGATTTAACAATTTGGGAATTGCCCATGAAGAAAAGTCTGCAAAGAATTTTGGGTAAAGTGCAGAATCACACACTGCTTGACGCGTTTTTAAGAATTGCAGATACTCCGGTATCCATGTACACATCGACCTATTTTCACTTTAAAAAAAATCCTAAAATTTCAAAAAAAAAAAAAAAAAAAAAAAAAAAAGGCACTGCGCACACCCTTGACTTCATCTGTGTACACATCGATCTATTTTCACTTAAAAAGTAAAAGAAAATGGACAAAAAACCAATTGTTTTTACTCTTGTAAAAAGCGGCAAACAAATAAATGGGCGATTCTGCACTTTACCGAGAATTTTTTCATAGAAAAGGCATCATTCATTATAAAATTATGTTTGAACAACCAACGAGATGAAATTGTGCTTTAACTCGGTAGCGAAATAGGATGCAGGCATCCATTCAGTTATGTTTAGCAATTTTTATATAAATTATAATAATGATATGGAATAGTTATTTGCTCTTATGCTTCCATTCAGTCATGTTTAGCCTTTTTTATATAAATTGTAATAATAAAAAAGTATTATATGAAATTAAATTTTCATCTAAATTAAAACATCAATCTTAGATGATAGTTATTTACTATTATACCTCCTTTCTTGCGTTAGGGTTGCCGCAATTATTTTTGGCAACACTGGCATCAAAACCGAATAGTACCAAATTCTATTACTATTCGGTCCTCAAAACCGAATAGTAGCAAATTCTTTTATAAATGCCCTTTTTCTGGATATAAATATTTAAGAAAAAATGGTCAGTCTATAAAACGCCATCTAATGGTTACAAAGGGTGATATAAGGAGACCTAGAAATCTTATAATGTAGGCTAGTGATTTTAAACTGGCAGCCAGTGAAAAAATTTCAGTTACGTACTTTTTGATATATGGTGTTGCAAAAATTTCAAGATTTTTGTTATTTTAAGTCCGAGTTAACTTTATTTTCATTACCATTAAAAACGAACATCAGTAACGAGCAGAATTTCTATTAATTGGAGTTAATTAATTTACAGAGTGATATACATCTAATTCAGAGATTTGAAGGTACAGATTTTATTAACTTTTATTCGTACTCGTCAGAAAATGATTAAGCTCAATTACAAATTTTAGTTCCAAGAATACTCGCTTTGTATGGGAATAGTTCCCCACAGTTGAAAGTTAATAAGAAACGATTTTGATTGACCACTCAACATCTGCAATCTGTGATGAAGATAATTTCTTTCAAAGTCTACAAACTTTATCATCAAGTATCGAAGAATATAATAAATGAAGAAGATTATAATTATTTACAATACTAGCACATGTATTTTTATTTATGCATCGAAAAAAAATTAATAAATAAGGGAAAGAGACTAGGCTGTCATTATTTATTTTTAAATTTTGTTTCACTTGGAAAATTTTCATAATTTGTTTACTTTTAGTTTAAAAAAAAAGTAGGTTGTTTAATGATAAATATATTAGAATCATTTGAAATAAATTTCAGTCTTAAAATTTAAAATTCAGTTTTCAGTATACTGTGTAATTACTATGAATGTTTAGCAGGTACAAACTTTAATTTCAGATAGAATTTTTTTTTTTTTTTTTTCCTTTTCGATATTGATATTATTATTTTTTTTTTTCATTTATGCTTTAATAAAATTTAGTAAGCGAATACATTAAAAGTTATTTAAAATATTTTTATTTTGTTAATAAAATTGTTCATTTTGTTAAAAAAATTGTGGCTCATCAGCTGTTTTAAGATCTGTATACGTTCCGCATGCAATCTGACACTACTGAGAAAGGCAAGAATCTCTAATTGGGAAGAAATTATAAACTTAAAGAAAACGATGAAATGAGCATGCTCCTCTGAAGGGAAAAGGTGAGGTGTGAAGGATAAGGGAGCTTACGTACTGCATGCATCGTCCAGTTGCATTGGATTGCATGCTTACCTATTACACTGCATACATTGTTATTCTGATTCTTCGCGAGACGAGCGCTTTTAAGTCGTTTAAAGGCCCGTTTCCACTGCTGCGTATGCGTTGCAGTGCGTATGCGTTTCTCCAATCAGCGAGCGAATTCACTTTGATTGACATCTGCAATCCGGTCGGTGTGCGGTGACGGATGACATACGGATGGAGTTCAACAATGTTCAACTTCTATCCGTATGTCTGCGGTTGCGTTGGGGTCACGTGGTGAAAAAAGAGCAATGATGTGTAGTCACTAAAAATTAATGGCGGCAGAAGAGCGATGAACGCTCGCTTAGAAGAACGTTTTGTAAAAAATACTTATTTCTGAATTAACATTATAGCGAGAAATCTGCGTGCTGAAAAAGATAGCAATCAGCTGAATTTAGTTAAAAAAGATAAGAAAAACAAAATAACTGCAACTACAATACTTGTTCAAGAAATTCAGTTCAAGAAAATCAGCAGCAAAAATTATAATTCCAAGTCCATGAAATAGCAAAATTTGTTCTGATAATCATTTTTTAGTTCTGCATACTCATTTAGCTTTAATAAAAATGAATGCCTGACTATATCAAACTGCTATAGCAAATTAGATATGATTAAAAGATTTGCTATTTTTTTCTTTGAAACAGGTAAAAAACTAAGAACGTTAATTATAAATTAAATTTGATAGCCTTTTAAATACTCCAGTTCATTAAAGAGTGTGTTATTTTGTATTTCCCTTTATAATATATCTTTTGGATAACATATATTTGTAAGCACATGAAATATATTTTTTAGCAGCCCGTTTAACTTCAATCGGAACGCCACTTTAAAAGAGAATGATTTTTCCAAAAAATGTACTAGAAGCTGAAGAACAAACTCTGGTGAATTTTTCAGACAATAGCACACTGAAATAGGACCAAAAAACTTAAGTTTTAAGAATTGATTTACTTGATGATGTATATAACCCAAAATATGCATGCGACTCACGTGTAATCCTAGCTTAGTGGTAAAGCTGATGGTAACGATGTCCACATTTTGGAGTCGTGAGTTCGAATCCCATACGCTTTTTTGCACCATGTCTGCAACTTTCTTACCTTTTTATTTCCAATTTGATCTATATTCGTGTTTTATAATTTATTTCTATTATTATATGCATTAAATATATTGTTTTATTTATGCTCTTATTTATTTAAATTTTTTCCCCGCAAAAAAGTTTGAAAATTATATAATACTAATTTAAAGCATATCCTGTACATATATATTTGAATTTTAACAAACATTCTCTATTCGTAAAAAAGCAAATTTAAAGTTAATTAAATTTAAATGAAATGTAATGCAAACAAAGAAATGATTAATTATTGCTGTGCAAGTATCAAAATCCATGAATAAATATATAATTCCAAAAATTTATTAATCCTTAAAAAAATTTATAAAATGCATAAGTGAATAATGGTATAGATTATTAATCCTAAAAAAATTATAAAAATGCATAAGTGAATAATAGGATAGATTATTAATCCTAAAAAATTATAAAATGCGTAATTGAATAATAGGATAGCTTATTAATCCTAAAAAATTTATAAAAATGCATAAATGAATAATAAGATAAATAAATTTTTGGAATTATATATTTATTCATGGATTTTGATACTTGCACTTGATTTACATATGCTCTCAGAATTTAAATGATATTGTATATTAGTTCGCAGCAATAATTAATCCTTTATTTTGTTTTGCATTAAATTTCATTTAAATTTAATTAACTTTTAATTTTTACGAATAGAAAATGTTTGTTAATTCAAATTTCATTCCTTGCAGCAATGGCGCAAGAGAATTATTTAAATTTAATTTATTTTGAAACCCTGCAGATATATATATATATATATTTTTTCGTTTCACTTTTATGTGAATGTAC